GCTACCAACACCTACTTAGTTCCCGTTCGGTGGAACAGCTCCCTTCCTGAGTACACTTTGAAAGATAATAAAGGCTGACAGGGAGTGCAGCGATCTCAAAAAAAAAAAAAAAAAAAAGGAACTCGTAAGCAGGGATTAGAAGATTTGATGCACAGGTAGGATAAAGGCAGGCAGGCATGTGCAGCCAACTAAAGCAAGAGCAAAGGCCCGAGTGTGTGAGTGATGGATGACCTGTCCGGGCCAGCACAGGACGCAGAGATGCTGCAAGAATAGGTCAAGAGCAGGTTTCACCGTCATGGCAATGGCAAGAACAACTTGATCAAATCTGGGTTTACAAAAATAACTCAGCTACATCCTGGAGAATTAAATACATAAAGGAAACCGAAAATGGGAAGTCTTTTATGAACCCATTAATGCAGCCTGCACTGGACAGTCATGGTGAAAAGGAAGACGTGAGGGAGGAGGTGACAGGGACGTGGAGGGAGGAGAGGCACTTACTGCACAGAAGAGCGTCTGAAGGAAGTGGGGATGACTCGGTATTTCAGAACTGAGTAAGAAAACCAGGAAAAGAAGCAAGTTGGGGAAGAAAGATAATGAGTCAGGTACTATAAATATTAAGTTTGGGTTTGTCTGTACAGGAAGAAACTCAAGTCTGAAGTACGTTTTTGGTATTCAGGACAGACCCATTCAGAGTGCTGGGGCCATGGAAAAGTAAGAAAAATGGGCGAGAAAGGTAGAATTTTAAAAAAAGGAAAAGAAAGCAAAGAATCCTTCCATATATGCACAGTCCAGCTAGTTCCAAAACCCGGACAGGTACCTTTCCAACTCTTCTATTGTAGCAAAACCAGCTCACCACTGTCCCAGCACACCTTATGTGCTCAAGGACTCATCCCTAATCTTTTCTTACCTCTATTAAAGATATAATAAGCATTCACTATGTGCCAAGCACTGGTGAAGATTTGAAAAATACAGTGAAAACTCCAAATGCTGCCTTTGGAGTTTCTGTGTTTGTGCACAAGACAGAAGTCAGTAAGCAAACAACCAAATAAACGCATTGAACTTGTCAACAGCCTGTCATGGAGTAGGAACTGAATTGAAGGTCTTGCCATTCCCTAAGGACTTAGTAAGAGACAATGGCAGTTAGGGGTGAGGGCTCATGAGGTGCCACCTCTCCCACATAATGTTCACTGGGAGAGAAACATTGCCTTCAGTAGTACAACCACTGGAAGCGAATCCATAATCTTGTCCATAATCCCCAAAAAAATATCACACACACACACACACACACACACACACACACACGAGGGGGGGGGGTCAGAGGTTCATGAAACTAGAAAGGGAACTAGTTGGAAGAGGAAGGGGATCAGTGGGTGGGGGAGAGAAGAGAGGGTAATGTAAGTGGATATGATTTTAAAAACGCATTATGTACTATATAAATTTATAGTGAAGTATGTTGTATATAACTAATACATGGGAATAAAAACACAAAACATAATTTCAATAAGTTAATGCAAAGGGGGAAACGCAGATAACAGACTGCAGATGGAAAAGAGAGATGGGGGATTTATTGAAAATCAGGTCGTAGTGAGAAGAAAACGCATTTTTTTTTTCATTTTACTTTTTGCATGAAGATCTAATGTGAGGGAGCAGGCCGTGTGAAAACCTAGAGAAAGAGCTTTGGAGGCGCAGGGAAGAGCGTGCAGGAAGACTCTGAGAGAGAAACCAGCTTGTTATGATTAAGAATCAGCATGGCCCTGCCTGGCTTCAATGGGATGATTGGCTACAGTTTATATTTTGCTATTTCTCTACTAGATTTTGCATGCTAACTAAAAGCATTGAAAATTTTCCACAGATTTACAGCCTTTCTTCTAAATTTTAGGCAAGCTAAATTCTCACTAAGGGCAAGATTTCTGTTTAAAGGTCATAAGGCCCAATCCCTAGTCTCTGCCTAAGTGTTCTTTCTCCATTCTTTTCTCTATAAATGTGGATTAGAAGGTTTCCTAATCCTGTGACATTCTCAAACACTTCAGAGCTACTCCCAGATGTTGCTCCCCATCTGGTGGGCAAACGGGGTGTTATTTCCAGTCCGGCTGTGGTCAGTCAGAAGCCAAGGCTATGCGTAGAGCAAAACAGAAAGGCCAAATGCCAAGATTCACTTACTACTTACGAACCTGGTGGCTTTACTTAGATTTGAATATTAAAGACTGAAATACTAACCAATCCTGAACAGGCTCTGAGAAGCTGTTTGCTTTGCCACAGTTCTCCACTTAAACATTATAATAATATTATTATTATCCCACAGGGGTATCATGAGGATTAATGAGACATTATCAAATCACTTTGAGCTACTCCCCTGGGGGTACTTAATAAATGGTATGTGTTCCCCCTGAAGTGCCACTTTTGACATTGATTTGTTGCAATGGGTTCTGCTGTCCAACAGGGCTGGAACGCACCCACCAACTCATTTCCCATAGGCGGCCGAGTGGCCGTCCAAAGGCAGTGGTTTTCGGTTAAAATAAATATGAATTGAAAGCGACAGTCAGCAATCAGAAGCAAAGAGGCCACTCTTAGAAATCCAGTATTTATTAAGTGCTCACAGTGAACAGCAAGAGGGTTTCTCAGTGTGATACAATACTGCAAACACTGGATTTGGAAGTAATCCAAGAGTCGAGGACCAGCTCTGTCACCAACTCGTTATGCAAGCTGAACAAATTGCTAAATTTCTCAGGGTCTCAAATACAAAATTAGGGCTGTCTGAACAAGTCCATCATCAGAGTCCTCCAGACAAGGCAAACCTATGCGAGAAGTGGAAAAAGTCATTTCTGAAAGCAAGACGCTCCGCAGCACGGAGAAACTTGTGACCATCCATCAAAGGTCCATCCTCTGCTCTAGTCTCCTTTGCCATTGATTAATATTAATTTCGGCATTAATTCCTGCACAAGGAAGAATAAATCACCTCCTAAGTCAGACATAGGAGTGCATGAGACATTCGGTCCTTAAAAATAGGGTCTTTGCCTTTCGGTGAGCTATCCTTGCAGCACGCAATCTTCCTCGTAATTAGGTTTACATAGATGAATATCCGCTCAACTGCTCCCTTAACCACCAGCTAACATGATACATATCAAATGATGCAGTGACCATCACACAATGTATTTCTCTGAAGTTGTGTGTTTAAGAGGGATTTATCGGGTTTGCTCAGCTTTTTTGTCTGACAATACACTTAACTCTGCAGTGCCCAGCACTGGGCCGGAAGTAAAGTTGAAGATGAAGAAATGATAAAGACTCTGGTGTTATACGACCCCACCCTCCATCCCCAGTGCTGGCTGTAGAAACCTGCAGGGTGACTGTACTGCCAGCTCTATCTTCCCTCACTCCTCATCCCAGGAGTCACAGTAAGTCCTGGACACAAACGAAGAAAAGCCTGCCTGGAGCAGACAGAAATACAGAGCATCGATTGTTGTGGAATTCGACTCAACAAACAAATGTTGAGTTCCCATGATTCCCAAGGTGCTTTGATGGTTGCTAAGAACAGAAGTTGGGCAAGCCCCTTCTATTATAGAGTCTGACGGCTGGGAGAGGGGGTAGAAAAGAATGACCACAAATCACTTACATCAAATTGGATTGTCAGCTCACTTCAGGGAATGATAAGACGTCTAGACAACAGTTCCTCTTTTGCAAATGACTGTGATGATTCAAAACAGAATCTTGTGACTCTAGTACTTATACTTGAGGGTAACTCAAATGCCCGGGACCAGAAATTAGGCTTAAAGCCAGCACAACAATTTGGAGAAACAGTTTAAGGGGAATAAATGTTTTCTCTGCGCCCAAAACAAGCAAGAAGGGCAGAAGCTACAAGAATGAAGGCTTTCCCACATTAGCGCCTAAAACAAGGCAAGTGCCCCACCACCAGGGCAGCTGCAGTGTATTAAATACAATCTAGGTTATCTGGCCTGCTCATGTCTGTCCTGCAGCAGACAAATCATTGAGTTATCTAACCACACAGATGAGGTGTGGTGAATTTTCTTTACCATCCCCCCTCTTATTTTCCCACCGAAAGTAGACTTTAAAAATCAGGCTGCCCTCGCTAATCCCAGGCAGAAACTTAGCCCTGATTCAGTCCAGGGCAAACTAGCTATTACGAAAGTGAGGTCTCTGAATGCCTTTAAGGACCCCTTTTTAAGACTCCCGGAAAGACTTCAGACCCTATGTGCCCATTAACTCTGTTGGGCTTCCTGTCCAAACACAATCGTTTACAGCACCTACACACCAGGTTTTAACAATCTTCTACCGTCCAAATTCGGGATGCTGGCCCCAGACTCACCTCTTGCCCACGCTAACCACCTAGCCTTCACCCCCTCCTCCCACAACATTCAGGGTCAGAAGGCCTGGCACCTGGTGGCCTTCCTTCTCCTTTGCCTGGGACTTCTGCTACCTACACTCCTGGAACTTGCCCTTCCTCCTGTCCAGGCAAAGTGTAAAAGGCCAGGAGGTCTGCATCCCGAGGGTCAAGGTGTGGTCCTTGAACAGATCTAACAGCCCTGAAATTGGGACTCGGTCACGCGCGGGAAGGGAATACACGCTATCCAGAAGCAAGTGGAGCCCAGGAATGAGGCCAGGCGGTGGGGATCCTCCAGGGCCAGACTGGCTGGGTAGCAGTTCAGAGGTTCCGGAGGGTCTGGGGAAGGGGATGCAAATTGGAGGAGATCCAGTGACAAAGAACCGCAAGGGGCACGGCCAGGAAGCGGGAAGTGCGCGCGCGCGCGGTGGGCGGGAAACCCGGGGGCGGCGGCGAGGCGGGCGCGCGCCCCGCGGGGAGGGGTGCGGAGGAGGGAGGAGGCGTCTGAACCGTGCAGCCCCGCGCGCCGCGCCAGCCCCAGACAGAGCCTCGCCGCAGCCGCAGCAACAGGCGGCGGGCCGGGCTCGCGGGGCGGAGGCGGCGGTGGGGCGGGGAGCTCGAGGAAGAGCGACTCGGGGCCGGCCGCCTCCTGCAAGGAAGAAGAGCACCGCCGCCTCCCGCGCTCGGCCTCCGCAGCCCTCTACCCGCCACCGCCGCGCCCACCCTGCGCAGGACCCCGCGAGCGGCGGCGCGCGCACCCTGCAGAGCCCCGGCCGCGCCGAGCTGCTGCCAGACATGACCGTGGTGCCCGGGGACCACCTGCTGGAGCCAGAGGCTGCGGGCGGCGGCGGTGGGGACCCGCCTCAGGGAGGCTGTGGCAGCGGCGGCGGCGGTGGCTGCGACCGCTACGAGCCGCTGCCGCCCGCGCTGCCCGCCGCGGGCGAGCAGGAATGCTGCGGGGAGCGCGTGGTCATCAACATCTCGGGGCTGCGCTTCGAGACGCAGCTCAAGACCCTCTGCCAGTTCCCCGAGACGCTGCTGGGCGACCCCAAGCGGCGCATGCGGTACTTCGACCCGCTCCGCAATGAGTACTTCTTCGACCGCAACCGCCCCAGCTTCGACGCCATCCTCTACTACTACCAGTCGGGGGGCCGCATCCGCCGACCGGTCAATGTGCCCATTGACATCTTCTCCGAGGAAATCCGCTTCTATCAGCTGGGCGAGGAGGCCATGGAGAAGTTCCGTGAGGACGAGGGCTTCCTGCGGGAGGAGGAGCGGCCCCTGCCCCGCAGAGACTTCCAGCGTCAGGTGTGGCTGCTCTTCGAATACCCGGAGAGCTCGGGGCCGGCCCGGGGCATTGCCATCGTGTCGGTGTTGGTCATCCTCATCTCCATTGTCATCTTTTGCTTAGAGACTCTGCCCGAGTTCCGAGATGAGAAAGACTACCCCGCCTCCCAGTCGCAGGACGTGTTCGAGGCCACCAACAACAGCACGTCGGGGACCGCCTCTGGAGCCTCCAGCTTTTCGGACCCCTTCTTCGTGGTGGAAACCCTGTGCATCATCTGGTTCTCCTTTGAGCTGCTGGTGCGGTTCTTTGCTTGCCCCAGTAAAGCCACCTTCTCCAGAAATATCATGAACCTGATAGACATTGTGGCCATCATCCCTTATTTCATCACTCTGGGCACTGAACTGGCTGAGCGACAGGGTAATGGGCAGCAAGCCATGTCTCTGGCCATCCTAAGGGTCATCCGCCTAGTAAGGGTCTTCCGCATCTTCAAGCTCTCCCGCCACTCTAAGGGGCTGCAGATCCTGGGGCAGACGCTGAAGGCATCCATGCGAGAGCTGGGGCTGCTCATCTTCTTCCTCTTCATAGGGGTCATCCTCTTCTCCAGTGCTGTCTACTTTGCTGAGGCAGACGACCCTTCTTCGGGTTTTAACAGTATCCCGGATGCCTTCTGGTGGGCAGTGGTAACCATGACAACTGTCGGCTATGGTGATATGCACCCAGTGACCATAGGAGGCAAGATTGTGGGCTCACTTTGTGCCATCGCAGGTGTCTTGACCATTGCATTGCCAGTTCCTGTGATTGTTTCCAACTTCAATTACTTCTACCACCGGGAGACAGAAGGGGAAGAGCAGGCCCAGTACATGCATGTGGGAAGTTGCCAGCACCTCTCCTCTTCAGCCGAGGAGCTCCGAAAAGCCCGGAGTAACTCCACCCTGAGTAAGTCGGAGTATATGGTGATCGAAGAGGGGGGCATGAACCACAGCGCTTTCCCCCAGACCCCTTTCAAAACGGCCAACTCCACCGCCACTTGCACCACGAACAATAATCCCAACTCGTGTGTCAACATTAAAAAGATATTCACTGATGTCTAATATATGATACAGTAGACAGACTGTGCCCAGTATTGTGTGGACCGTGCCCCCTTGGTCTGTGTATGCCCTTGATTTATACATTTCCAGACCATTCATCAAGGAAAGGCCATAAAAAAAAAAGTGGAAAAGCACACTGCATTCTCCCTCTCCCTGCCGCTTCATACTGACACAGGTGCCTGTTCTGCAAGTGGGCTGCGTTCTCTCAGCTCTTTTTTCTAAATCTCTCTCCTCGTCTTTTAGTTTTGTGACCAACAAACTTACATTAAAGCTTGATTTCTAGTCACCCCCCATGAAAACCCACATCCTGGGAGGAAACGAAACTTCAGGGGCCGGAGTAACTGTTTAACCTCAAAATCAAAAGATAGCTGTCTCTTTACTGAGTAGAGGAGGCGGGACTTAAATAATGCTCCTTGTTTGGTGAGCCGTTTGTTAGTGTTTGTGAACTGTTTGGTTTAATTACCCAGCCTCTGGATTGGTGGACAGAAAGTCTAACTAGAGCGATGGCTTATAAGCCCACCATGCATTGACTTTGTTTTTGACCAGTCTTTCCATTTGAATCTCTCCTCTAAGAATTTAAGGCTCGCAGTAACTTTGAACCAAAAGGGAAATGGCCCAAATGTCCTGATCTGACTATTAACTCTTTGGAGTTTGCAAAGCGTTTTGCGAGTATTAGACACGGATTCCAGTGAAGTTGTGAGTGTGTGCCCCAGCCAACATCTACAAACGTCTAGAAACTCGTTTTCAGAGCTGTCAAGAGCAACAACCAAGAATCCTAAGGCATGTGAGAGATAAGCTTCTGCGGTGTCACGAGAAGATTAAAGTGACAGACACCCCTTCCAGCGGAAGTTACTAATTCGGACCTGACTGATGCAGTTCCCATAGCAACCCATGTTTCCTGGGAAACCCGAAAAAGGTTGTCATGGCATCTTTTGCTCTTTAGCCCCACCCCCCTCAGGCCTTGCCGTTTCCACAGTAACCTTTCCAGATGGTTCCTACTAACATGATTTCATAAAGAAAAAAAAATACTATTTGAATAAACCGCACAAATTAAGTGTAAGACTGAGGTGAAATGAATCATAAGATGCTTTTTTATATTTTATATAAATCATTACTGTTATCCCATAATGACTGAAGCAAAAAGGAAAAGATCATCTTTGGAATGTTACACGTAAGCCACAATAAGTAAGACTCTGAATTAGATTTCAGGTTTTTTTTTTGGTAACAAATTTTAAAGATGCTCCTGCACAGTTCTTTCACCGAGAAATGACAAGCCGAGGAACGAAGAGACAACAACAGTATAAACATGTCCTGTGCAAAAGCAAGTAAAAGTCAGTGTACTCCAAGTCGTACTACAAGAGACCTTCAGATTTCCTGTTACAAAAGAAAAAGAAGTCCATCCGGACCCCACAACAGAATTATCACCATCCCAGCACTTGAAAAGCAAAATTAACCTCCGATATATGAGGGATGCAGGTTTTAAGGAGTGTATTATAGCCAATGGAAAAGAAGGATGGATCAGGAAGTAATAAGACCTTGGAAGAACACCTGCAGATTTCAGGCACATGCTGAGGGGTGCCAGCAGACAGGCAGAATCAGGTGAGCACTGTGGCTATGTGTCTTAGAGTGGTCCGTTTGGCAGGGAACCGGGCAAGCGTCATTCCTAGCTAGGTTTATCTTTGCAAAATCGACAGCTTTATAATACGTGCCAGTTGCCTTTTGAGAAGCTCGTTAGGAAATTTCCCCCATGTGTCCTAGGTTATCTTTTGGTTCCCATTGTTCATTGCAAAAGGATACAGAAATTTTTCTACTGAACAGCCTTTAGCCAAGCTGAGCTGAAAATTATTCCATTGCTTTGACCAACCCACTTGGCTCCTGAACAACTTGTTTCCCCTTTAAAATGAATTAAAAAGCAGACCCTACAACTGCTAGATTAGAGGTGCAGTTACATAATTCCTTAGTATCAGTAGTTCTTGAAGTAAATGCTTAAAAGTAAAATAGGGTTGGGCAGTTTACTTCAACGTAGTCATTCTGCTCTATGTGTGTTGTAAGAATTATACACTGCTTTCTGGCTTTGGTGACACAGAAGTAGTCTGTCCCTCGAGAGTACATGACAGTACCCTCATTTTCAAAGCTCGCAAAATCATTTCAGGTAATCTCTCATAAGCCTACCTAACATATTTGTGCATTTGAGAGACTGGGAAATATTAATGGAGGTTCTAAGAGGAAAGATAAAGGAAATATGAGAGGAAAAAAAGGTAGAGGCAATAATTCCCTGTCTACCTGGTTGCTGTTTGTTCTTTGTGTCTAAACAGAATTTTACCTACTTTCCTTTGCTTGTATGACCTTCTTTGGACAATTCACATTTTGATCTATGAGTTGGTCTTCTTGCTAGAGAGGCATTCCTTTCATGGCCCCTTTTGGTAATATTAGAGCAGTCACCTAAAAGACTCACATAAAGGTAACACTTTTACTGCTATTTAGGAATATAAGCACCTTGCTTATTTTCATAAACAGATCATGTTAGCCGATATATTTTTATGCTTCTTAAATCAGAGGAGGTTGAAGGACACCTTTTGTTTTCTTAACCAGAGAAATAGCACAGGTTTTGAGTCATAGCTTTCAGGTGATGTAATTGTTTCCAGTCGCCATATTGGAAACTCCTTAAAGGTTATAGGTTCTGTGTTTTGATTTGGGGATGCTTGACGATTTGGGTACTGTGCCTAGCACAGAAAGTAGGGCCTTGTGTTTGTCAGGTTAACGCTCTCACCTTACATCAGTATTTCCCGGCTTTTTAGTGAAGTGGCTGAAAGAAACTGTTTGCAGTCTTAGAGCAGGGTTTGGCTCCTGTCTCTGCTGAATGACCTTGAGAACATTACATAACTTCTCTATTCCTTACTTCCTTTTTCGTAATATAAAAGTAATAAATAATCCTTCATACATTTTTGTATTAAATAATTTAATGACGTACATCAGATTAAGAGACTACATGGTCTTATGGTCACTCCTTATGAGAGTTGTATAGTTAATGCAAAGCTTTGTGAATAAGAAACCAGTGATTTCCTGTTTGTACTAACGCAGTTAACATTTGCTAAGCATCAGCAACGCCCTGGACACTTGTCAGTTCTGTGGTGGCATTAACCTCATTTCAGTGAGGATGAGCACGAGATGACGGATGCTAAAGTGTTTCCCTGTGACTTCAAGCTAGTGAGACACCCAGCCACAATTAGAAGCCAGGTCATGATGACTCTAAAGCCATGCTAGGTTTGTGGTGCATCCTGAAAGATAAGATTAATCCCTGAGACTTTTAATTTTGGCTTCAGTCCATGTTACTAATTAGTGTGTAGAAACCTCATCAGCCTTCTGAAAATTAGCCCTTTCTTAGGAATGAGACCTGTGTAACCAGGAGAACCAAACCTAAGACATTTAAATCAGATTGAGATTGACTTTCCTTATAACATAATTGACGTATCTGGATTTAACCTTAGAAGCCATTATCAGTAATGTTAGGGATGCCTGCAAGGACAACGGTATTTCTGGGGTTTTTATAGTCATTTCCTGCTTGCATCATTTTAATTGGCAATATGATAAATAACATTATATAAATTATTAAACTTTTCATTTCCTGTACTTTGCTTAGGCTTCTGAGGAACCATATCGGAAATTAGTGTAAACATTTGACTCTTGCAAGAAAAGTAAGGGTTGCTTACAACAGGACAGAAAATAGGAGGTTCTCTGACCACTGAGATTTTTGGCATTAATGACTCACCTAGCCACTCCACGAGTCCGTAAGAGACTGCAGGAAAACAGTAAGACCTTGTATACTGGGTGTAGCACCTTCTCCAAGGCTCTAAATCTTTTATAACATGAAAACAGTGATTTGAGCTTTAGAGTAGCGTGCTAATGAATGCGCCTTTGCCTGTGCCAGTTAGCTTTGCCAGCTACAGGCTTCACTGTTGAACTTAGCTGAGCATCTTGAGTGTTGAAAGGAGATGCATGTGAGTTATGTGGCTGGATCGGTCCAACTCAGCACCACCTCGGGAGGATGCCTGTGCCCCACAGCCAGTGATCCAGAGCAGACCATAGAGGCTAACATTTAGTATTTATTTTTCTTGTGTGGCGTTTTAAACTCACATTGTGCCAAAATCAAACATCGTCTAACTATGGTGACAAAACGAGGTGGTGAAGAAAGTGTTATTTCTAAACTTCTAAACAGAATTTCAGGATTGATCGACTTTTATATACATAGTAGATGATATTTAAAGTTACGGTTTACATGACACGTATTTACAGCTTTGTCATATAACACACCCAGGCGACAGCTTTGTACACAGCATAGAACTCCAGCACATAATGGCATACACCAACAGTTCACTCCTTTGAGAACCGTAATTATATTTTCTACACATTGAAATTTTCAGCACTGTCTACAGCAGTTTCAAGCCCTTTCCACCTCTCAACTGTGACTAAAAGTGATAACCCCTCCCACTAAGAAATGCAAAGAAGCATGTGCCCCTCAATCCGGAGATGTGCAGAAACACTGTGAGGCCGAAGTGAGAAGTTCTAGACCTGGGAGAAGCTATTTAGGTAGGGATTACGTCTTAGGATTTTTTTTTGCTTTCTGTTTTGTAATGGGCCTTTTCAACTAAGAAAGAATTACTGGTTTGTAGGATTTCCTATGTTGTGCTGAGGTGTGTGTGTGTGTGTGTGTGTGTGTGTGTGTGTGTGTTATACACCTTCTGTGGAGGTATTTATCTTTGAGGAAAGATAAATCAGGGTAAATTAAAAAAAAAAATAATGGAAAGCTATAAAACTCCAAACCTTACTTACAAATTTTAACTTCCTGCCAGAAAATGGTCAGTGTGGTGTGGTGTCTGATACTAGTATTCATTGTATACTCATTCTCAGCCTGCAAAAACAGCCTGATTGATGGAGGTGGGTCTTGTATCTTATCTGTGCAACACCTGATGATTCCAGTTCATTAGAGATTTACAGCTGCTTGGCTTGGCTTTTAGTGGTGCTGCGGGCCAATTTTCTCTTCCAAACTGCAAAGATAACATATCCCCGAAAGGCGTTTTTGTGACCTCCCTCCCTCCCTCTTTTTCCTTCCTTCCTCCCTTTGCCCTCCATCAGATGCATTTTTCTTGCACTTCAAGATGTGCACCATCATGTACTTTAGAAAGGAGTCCTGGAAAAGAGGCTCCATCATCTTCTTGAGGGCCATATTCTTACCATAACTCAGGTGAAGAATAGGAACAATTCCCTGGAAAACCCCTAGGGCTCTGGTCATTAGTAATATAGCAACTAAATAAACCCCAAATATTGTTTCTTCATATCTGAAGAGTAATAGAACAGGTGCTTATTCAGGGTTCGGGTGTTGCATATGATGAGGTCCCTCATTCGCTTGTGGAAGAAGGAAGCATTTTCTCTTCCTGTGAGCTTCCAAGTTGGGACTGTCACTGTACCAAGTCTCTGGGGAATTTATGAGGAGGTCCCCCACGAGCTCTTCACTAAGAAGGCTATCCTCAAACCATCATTGTCTCTCACCCAGATTTTTATTGACCCTACTAATTGATACCCCAGCTTCTCTCCTTTCCCTTAATTGATTCAGTTCTTAGCATGAAACCCTCAGTAATCCTTTCTTCTTTTCTTCGGTTTTTTTTTTTTAATTGGGTTTTTCTTGTTCTTTTTGTTTGTTTGGCTGGTTGGTTGGTTGGTTGCTCAGGAACAAGGCTTGCCTGGAACTCATTCCGCAGACCAGGTGCATCTTGAACTCATAGCAGTCTTTCTGTATAGACCTCACAGTGGCCTGCACAGCCCTACCTAATTCTCTAACTCTTCTGGCCTTATTTGTCTTTCTGACACTTGATCCAGAGTGCTCTACAGGCTCTTTTTTTTTAATATTTATTTATTTATTTATTATATATACAATATTTGACTGTGTGTATGCCTGCAGGCCAGGAGAGGGCACCAGACCTCAGTACAGATGGTTGTGAGCCACCATGTGGTTGCTGGGAATTGAACTCAGGACCTCTGAAAGAGCAGCCAGTGCTCTTAACCTCTGAGCCATCTCTCCAGCCCCTCTACAGGCTCTTTTTAAAATGGAGAAATCATCTCCACCTTGCAGGGTTTGTGCTGGCTGCTCCTTATGCATAGTGTGCTCGAGCCTTCGAGTGTCATCCATATGACTCAGTCCATCGCCCCCTTGCTGTGTCACCTTCTCATCACAGCCTTCCCGGCCAGTCTGCTTGCCACTACAGCCCCGTTTGTGCCTTTCTCTCTTTAATCTTCCTTCTAGCGTAGTATGTATTTTGTCTATTCGATTTATTATTTTCTTTTTTCCTTCCTTGAGGCCATGGCCTGGACTGGTACCTGAAACACATTTGTGTTCAGTGTGTATTTATTGGAGGAACATGTGGGTTTTCTTGCATGGTTTTCATTGCTGCAGGGCTCCCACTCCTTATCATGCTCTCGTGGATAAAATTTCTGCCCTTTTGTCCATTGGAAAGACTTCGATGTATATAACATACTTCAGATTCCTATGAGAAGCTCTACCCGTTTGTAAGGATGGAATCCCTTGATTTAAATATGGATATCATCAAGGGTGCTTAGCACTTAAGATGTTTCCCGGAGACCGTGGGTCCTACATAGAAGCTAGTAGAGTACTTCTTATAGCTAGTAGTCCTCTTCACACATGAGGACAAAGACTTATGGACCCGAGTGTTACAGAAAATCCCAACAGATGACTCCCCTGGGAATTAACCTTTCCATTAAACAAAGATACTGCCATGGTTTTAGATAGCATTGTGGCAGATGTATTCTCTTTGGCAGGATGTGAGATTCTGCTGAGTTAGAGAGAAATGTGTTTCTCCATACTCCCGTTGAATTGTCTCCATTCCCAAGCAAATCAGACCAGTGGATGGGCTGGAGGTTTCTTCTGCACATCCAGGCAGCATCGTTTGCTTACTAAATGTGTCAACAAATTAAAATCAACATATGTGTTTGAGTTTACATACGTAAACCAACAGAAGTTAGAGACTCCATTCAGCAGCTTATCTAATAAGCCTATGTGGAACCAAATACTCTATGTGAAAATATCTTGCTAGGTCTTCTTAAAGAAATGACATAAAACAAAAGGTAGAAATAAATAATGTCTCGTTTTTCATGCTTTTGAATTTTTTGAATTGTGTATGTATTTGTGCGTGGGTGGGTGTGCCCACAATACAGTTGTGGAGGTCAGCAGACAACTACCTTTTAAGAGTTGGTTCTCCCTTTCCACTGTGTGGGTTGCAAGAATCAAACCTGGGTCATCAGGTTGGTGGCACGTGCCTTCACCCACTGAACCATCTTGCTGGTTCCCATATGTCACATTTCAAAGACACTTATTCTCTCTAAATACAAACTGTAGTATCGTTGTTTTATTCCTAGAGTCTGTGAACTTTTTAGCTGCATCCCTTTTTACTGATTTGAAAAGACCAGTTTGTTATGCTATATAAGATTTAGATATTTTACTTACATGTTTAGATCTGTAAATTTTAGATATTCATTAGTAGTAGACTTAAATATTCCTCATGTTACTCAAAGTAACGTTTATTTAGTTTCAAAGCTCATTTCCCAATGAATTTCCTGTTTTTTGACAATGCTCATATCTTTCAGATTACTAACTTTAAGTACTGTTGTGTTTAAACCTTTTGTTGCTTGCCAACAGTTCATAACTTCCAAAACTTCAACCAGAAAACCATACATAAATAGAGAAAACTCTTTCCTAGTCTTTGGGCTTATTCGTTACTGTTTAGCTGCTGGAACTGTAGAACTTACTGGTGATGTGGCCAACATTAAGTGTTTTGTTTGGGGTTTTTGTTTGTTTGTTTTTTGTTTTATGGTTTTGTTTTGTTTTGTTTTTGTTTTTCTGAGACCGGGTTTCTCTGTGAAAAAGTCCTGGCTGTCCTGGAATTCACTCTGTAAACCATGCTGACCTTGAACTCACAGAGATCCACCTGCCTCTTCCTCCTGAGTGCTGGGATTAAAAGCCTGTGCCACCACCGCCTGGCATATTAACTTTTTAATAGATGTCAAAATACAGGCACAACATGAGAACAAAATCCCAATAAATCTACATTTTTAGGATGAATCCAACCCTCTCATCAAATACACATTGTTCAGTGGGCTGAATCTATAGTTCTTTCTCTTTGAACTTGATAGAATTATGAGTTGCTTCTTTGCAACTGAATAGTTATTAAACTTTGCCCATTCTTGTCCCCCTTTTGAGCAGGTTTCTTTAATTATAGGTCATCATTTTTCACAATACCTTCTATCTCTTTTATAGAATTCATTTTGATACTTAATGTCTATTCATTCCTTTTCAACCCACTTCTTATCCACTAACATAAGCATTCTTATACTATTCAGATAGCACCTTTATTTTTATTTCTATAGAATTACAACTTTATCTACATTTATAACCTATTAAGATACTGTATGATTCGTGTGTGTGTGTGTACATGCATGCAAGTATGCAGATAGATATGTATGTGAGTGCAGGTTTTTGTGGGCATGTGTGCACATGTATACAGAGAACGGAGCTCAACCATGGGTGTCATTCCTCAGGAGCTATCCACCATGTATTTCTCTCATTTGCCTGGGGCTTACCAAGCAGGCTAGACTGGCTGGCCAATCAGTGCAAGGGTCTCCACCTGTCTCCACCTCCCCCAGGATGAGTTTATAAGCACATACCACCAAGCCCTGCCTTTCTGCACAGGTCCTGATGATCAAACTCATGTCCTCATCCTTGTGCAGCAAGTTCTTTACCTACTGAGCCATCCACCCAGCCCTACATTATTCTTACCAGACATTTCAAAGCCTTCACAGGAAGTAGTGGACACATGAGATTTAAGACAGGAAGCCCAGCCACTTTACTGAATTGAAATGGTAGCAAAAACAAGTGTAACTTAACTGAACCATCTCAAGACAAATAGACCGAAGGCTCAGCAAGCAAAGAATAAGGACTTATATTCTAAATGGAGGCCATATCATTCATGTTATTAGTGTTTTCTTCCTAGTGGCAGTTCATAACTAAACCATTGCAGTTTCCGTATTTTCATAATAAAAATTAAGCATACTTTAGATCTATTCTTATTTTTTACTCAAAAAAAGTAGTGTAAAGAAAGTGTTGACCGTATGACCAAGTGCGATCCATACCGCCAAGAAAAATGTTTCTGCAGATAATTGCTAAAGTGCATAGCTTGATGAATGAACAATTCTCCCATCAAAAGTGCGGTGGAATCCCAGATCCTCATCTTTGGGACATCTGCTAAAGCCAGGAGTGTATGTGAGGAAGAGTCTTCTTCATGAGCCTGATAGATAATGTTCACACGTTTAACAGTCTCTGCTTATGTCTTTGTGGGTTTCCTTTGTATTACAGAATAAGCAGATGTTTTGATGACATAACCCGAATTTAATGTATCCTTTTTTATCCACTTAGCATACCTATAGTGAGGACCCAAAATGTGTCAGACACTGCAAGGCGGTTGGGACTTGCCTTTGTAATATATAAAATGTCTACTGAGTACCACAGTCCGTTCTGGATTCTGGATAAAACTGAAAACCAGGAGAGGGAGTTCACCAAACCTATAGCCTTCTTTTCTTGGTTCTTCGCAGCCCCTGACAAAGAAGTTTTTGTTTTAATTCTTTAAAGTGATAGATAACTGCACATAGTCATGTTTTAAGGATCATTAGATTTGTAACAAAAAGGTGCTAGGCTCTCACACTCACAAGGCTTTCTTCCTTCCCCTTCTCTCCCCTCCCCTTCCCTTCCTTCCCTCCCCTTGCCATCCCTTCCCTTTCCTTGCCTCCACCTCCCTCTCCCTGCTCTTTACCCCATCCCTCTCCATTTAACGCCTCTCTAAGGACAGAAAGTCTATTCATTACAGAGAGTTCTCATTTTAGCTCACCACAGGAGGAGATACAACCAGAAATCTTTGGAAATCATTGAGAAGATAACACATTTTTCTAAAAGTCACTGTAAACCTGCCAGATGGCCTTGAGGATAAGGATAAACTCTCTCTTCCAAAAGCGCACTATCCTTTTAGTTTGGACTAATGGATCATTATTAATTGAAAAATTATAGCTAGCATAATCTGAAACTTTCTGATCTACAAATTGGAGCCATTCAAAATATAGTCTACAGTATTTCAAAAAAATGAATTTTTTTGAACTTTACAGCTAAAAGTAAGGAAACATAAATTTAAAGAAATTCATAAATGGAACTTTCCTTGTAACATAAATTCTATCATTTCAAATGCTAAATATAGTGTGATTATTGCATCTTCTCTATCCAACAGGTCCCTCAAGAGAGCCCCACATAAAGAACTGCAGAGTGACCCTGACCAGAAGCATGCTCAGTTTTAACTGCTTGGATGAGAGCGGAATGACAGTAACATATTTTTATTTCAGTTAATATTCAGAGATACATCTCTAAAAAATGCTTCACTTGAAGGAAAGAACTCAGAGCTGTAGGGTACTCTTCATATTATGAGTGGTACAAATGATATCAAGCAGGAGAGAAGAGAGGAACATTAAAAATAAAAAATATTTAAAAAAATAAAATATTAAGGTATCATCTTAACCTGTTGACATTCTGATGGAGTCAAGACATCCCCAAACTACAATCAGTGTCACGGATAAAGATAACCTTCTGTGTGTTTCTAACAAGCCAACTATTGCTGGTTTGTTTTTTTTTTTTCATTCAAGTATTGAACTGTATTTAATTGTGAAACATGTTCCTATCGTCTGTGTTCTGGGTTAGGTTTAACTTTATCTGTGAGTGTGTGACTATACCAAAGGCTTCCGTTGGTAGACCCATCCCATTCACACAAATAAGTGAAGTCAACACTGTGCCCAGAGGAGTGGTAGTAAAGAAACGTGCCTTGCCTGATGAGACATTCTTTTATTTTTTAATTCAAAATTATAGATTAACAAATTAGATTTTAGGTAGGTTTTAGTTGACCTTAACTTTACAAAAAATGCAGTAGTTCTTATTCTGTTTAAGTTGTCTGTGTTAACTAAAATTACAATACTTAGTTATACTTAGGCATTTATTATATATCAAGTTCTATTTTATTTTCATGGGATGTTTGGTACGGTGAGACAAAGTACATTCTTTAAGATATATATAATATCTCATCTGATGTTTATAACTTTTCCTTCAAAGTTATATGTGTAAAATATTCTTTGACTCATTTTCTATTTTTATATTCTTTTAGAAATGGAACTCTTTTTCAATTAAAAAGGGGCAAATTTTTAGTTGGAAAAGAGACTCGGGAGGTCATAAAGACGGCGTCCCATTTGGGAACATTTAACTTCTGTGCCATTATTGTATTTACTGTGACATCTCAGCAGAATGGTAGCTATTTGTATATTATTTCATAAGCCTTATGGAAAGTCAAACTGTGAACATTCAATATGTACACTACTTTATTCACTTGCATAGTTTATTGTCAAGATATGCCTGAACAAGTGCATAAAAAGCAATGAGTACTTTTAGAAGTTTAATCATATGATGACCTAAAAATTCAAATGATGAATTTCATTAATCATAAGAACCTTAGTTAACAGCCACTTACCTAGTAACCCCCAAATAGGTAGAAACACAATCCAGGTAACTTTCTTTGAGGCAATGTCTAAAGTGAAGTTTTAATAATCTCCTGGAAATTTCTTCATGTCAAAACATGGAGACCATATTGCTATCATTTTAATGAAGATAAAGGGATGACAGCTGTCTTTGCTTTGAGTGATGTGAGCCTCCAATAGAAATGGCCATGAGTACAGTGAGAATACAGCCACCACCTTGTTTTTGTTAGTGTTCGCTCATGTTGTAGAGATACTAGCACTGGGAATAGTGAGCCCTTTGCAGTCATCTGACTCCTCATAACTGATGGCCACAGCCCCGTTAGCAGTAAAGCAATCATGGTGGATGAAAACAAACCAGGGGTTCTTAAACGTTCAGGTGTTTGTGTAAGGATCAGTAGGTGTTGCTAAATTGTGCAAGAAATACCTTCATACAATGACCCATCTTTAAGCAATGTAGTGTATGTAATAGTATATCTCTTTTAGGATTATAGGCCACAGTTAAAATAAAGACAAAATCTGGAATACAAAATCTGGAATTTTGCACACACACACACGCGTGCACACACACACCAAAGAAGAGCTCAGAACAGTGTCAGATGCATAACATACCAAAACATTCACATGATGAGTAGTAAAAATAGCATGAGCTTCGATAACAGGATACTGGCATTCTTACCCACTGCCTACCTCTGGGACCCCAGGTAAGTCATTACCATTGCTAGACTTTAGTTTCTTGAATTGCAGAGTGGGCATGCCAGGTTCAGCAAACTCCAAAGCCCTTTCCCGCTACCAAATCCTGTTACACACATCTCTTGAAAAATGCTTTGAAGAATACTTACACACTAGGATTTTTATATGCATTTCTAAAGAATAAATTGGAATAAGATTTAAGCTTTGAAAGTGCCATGAAATATCTCATTCTTCAGATTGTGAGAAGAAGAAATAGGATTTCTTCTCCTTTAAGATCTTTTCACTCATCTATAATAGGATCATGAAAAACGGAGGGGTGGGGCATCCCTCTGTAGAAGGGAAGCAGATTAATGAAACAGCTAACAAGATGGGGGCAGGTATCGGTAACATTAATTGGACGTTAAGGTGATTTGCACAGTGTGCATGAAACGCTGAAATGGTCCCAGAACTTTACTGCACATTAGGAGACTAAAGGTAGGAAAAGATGGGAAAAGACCGGAGAACAGAAGTGTTTGCCTTATTCTCTCTTTGTTCTTTTTACACGCGGGAGCCCAGATGGAGATCTTCATTGCAATACTGAGTCTGCCGAGCACTCATTGCCCCAGGAAAGTCCTTTCAACTTCTCAGAACTCCAGTTTCTTAATCTATAAAGAGTTTAAATTTGAATTTAGTAATCTGCATATTTCTTTTCATCTTTTAACATTCTGCGGCATTTCAGGTTCTTAAAACATTTGCATAAATACCCTTATGTGTTGATCCCCCCCCATCAGTCACTATGATGCCGTAGAGTTTTCAAGAAACTGGGTAGATTATGAACTCAGACGTGTGTATTCCTAATACTGCTGTTTGACCTCGACAAGACCTGAAAAACTTAGACCTCATTCTCATTCAGATCTAGCTAAATTGTTAAAACTTGTCATTTCATCTTTTAATGTTGAATTCATTCCCTAAACAAATGTCTTTTCAAGTTACTCTCCACAATTTGTTGTAATTTAATAATCAAATATATTGGCATACCAGTGAACTATAGCTGACTGTAAGATACAATTTTTGTCACATTTAAAAGTTAATGCCCTCTTGGTCCCAGAAACTATAACTATAATATAAAAGAATATTCATAAATTTTGTGAATTTTTTAATACAAAGGAGGCCCAATGGAGCCATACTGTAATTTGTTTTGCTCAGGAGTGAGAAAAACATTCAGGGATACCCAAACACTTCTGTTTGGCATTAGTGGACAATTGAGGAAAGAAGGGTTATATCTTTTTGCACAACAAAGATGACAGGTGACGATGCCCATTAAAAATGGGAGTATTTTCTGGTGACTGACTTTAGTGTAGAAAGAAATAGGTTAGAAGAACGCCAGAGTCAGACACTAGAAAACTTATTAAAATGGTAATGGTCCATTGAATAATGGAAATATTTTTGTCATACTGAGATCCTTTGTCCAGAAAGTTAGTCCTATTTCCTTTCCATTCAGAAAGGGGCAGGTTTCAGATGCCTCTGTCATAATAGGAAATGTATATTTTGACTAGTGGAGAAATTAGCTAAAGCATCTAATCTGATCATTTTAGTTTTGTGAAGCTGAAGTTTCATCTTAGGTGTAGTTAGTCTCTTGCATATGTGGTAGTGTCCGTAATCTTGAGGAATGATTTCATTAGCTTTGTTTTTCTTTTTAAGTTGATAAAATGTGCTAAATGGTGATCCCAGCATACCGTGTTAATACTGTATCCTACAACCATTTGTGAAAAAACCACAGTGTTCCTCTTCTGGTAAATTGTTTCTATGGTGTGATTGTTTCATGCTGGGGGGTGGGGGTGGGGAGGATAAGTATTTAGTTAAAATGTCAAAGTGTTTTTCTTAAATGCCATAAAATTGTGTGACATTAAACCAAATAGGAATATCCTCTTTTTCAACTGTGAGAGAACTGTATAGACTACTTTGGGGACTACCCCATAAATGCTATCATTTGTGGTTTTTTTAAGCTCATATATTATAGGTGTAACATACAATATATACCACATACAAAGGAATGCAAACAGTGTATGTAGTGTTTCTTGGAGTCTACACCTGTTCATTTACATAAATACTTACGCATTGCAAAGACCATCAACATACTCTATTTCATTTCTAAAGCACTGCCCACATGAATTACTAATAGTATCTAGAGTTTAGAGATAGAACAGTCAAGGTGTTAAAGAGTCTAGTGACTTACCATAGACCATGTGCCCATAAGTGACTCTAAATGTCATTCACTTTGCACTTGCCATCCTGGCATGTGTGTGTTCTTTCTCGCTGCGTTGTATTTCAAACTTAAACACCAAAAGATGTGTTAAAATTTTAATGTTGTAGGGAAAAGGAGTCATTGGGATTGTGTTAGACCTTCTTAGATAACTTCCAACCTCTGTCTACCTACTGTAATGCCCAAGGATTTTACCAACTAAAACATAAGTCCCCACACACAAGTCATACACCCTCATATCCATTTAATGTCACCATGCCAAACAAAACTGCTCTTCATCGATCTCTTTTACTTGGCTTTTTTAAAAACCCATCGTAACAGCTAATTTCGGAACAGTTTTTCAAAGCAACTAGAGAAATTGCAGCTGTTCTGACTCAAAGGGGAAAAAAACTAGGCCCCATAGCAATCATTTTTTAGTTTGTGTATGACTGGAGGAAACGAGAGAAGGGAGTTGGGAGGGTGTGTATATTCTAGAGAAACTATCCTTTTCAGTAACTGTGTAGATGTACTGGATTATTAAGTCGTAGGTAGAAGTTTGTTAACATTAGCCATAGTTCAATTACTGGTAAGCTTTCCACTCATTTAACGATATACTTAAGGATTTTCCCCCAACTTACATTACAACCAATGACTTCTCGGTTTGAATATGAAGAACAGTCATGTTTCAACCCATGACCGATATTCCATTTTCGTTCTCAAGTATCAGGTAGCCGCTAGTACTGCTTACCCTTGTAAATCAATAGTCTGTGATTCGTTCTGTACTTCTCTGTGCAATGCAGTGTTAACTGTGAATAGTTAAAGAAAATGTGTTACTATACTGGCATTTAATATTTCCTAACATTGACTTCAGTTTTCCCCATCGAGTAGGTAAGTCAACCAAGTATTATTTTGTATGAAATGAAGTAATATTTATTCTTAATAACAACGGTATTCTTACTACAATGTCAAATCAAACATGCATTTTCTATTTTTATATTCGTTTTCTTTTGACATTGAGTTAGGTCAAGTTACCGTATAGTAATGTAAAGTTAAATTTTTATGCCATGTTCGCTGCTTAATTTGGGGCCTTTTGTTAAGTAAACACCTGTGAGTTTTGATTGTGTGATATTTCTTGTGATGATTTTTTTAATTTGTCATTGGACTGGAAGTGTTTATTGCAAATGTTAAAAACATAATCCAATAAAACACCTGGAAATGTTCTATTGCAGTAATAATTCCAAATGACTGTTTGTTTCCTCTCTTCTCATACCCCCTCTCTCCGATCTTCCCTTCCTCCACCTTCCCTCCTTCCACTTTATTTCTTTATTTTGATTTTCCAGAAGAAACATCAAAAGCTAAGCTCTTGTCAACAGTTCCAGCATCAGCTGCCTTTGGATCATCTATCACTTGTCCTCCCTTACAGCAAAGGCTTCTAACATTCCCTAGATGCTGTTCCATTGCCTGGTCTTACAGTTCTAGAATCCCAATGAAGTCTCAAAGACGAAAAATAAAAGATTAACAATAATGCTGAGCCTTTATGTCTTATTCCAGTCGTAGAGTAAATGATGACATTACTTCATTTAAAATAGTAATCCCGTTCATCTAGGTACTGCCCTGTTCAAAACAGTGTGGAGGTATTATGGGCAGTGTGTGGATGACTCTTTTTATCAGATGGATTATAGATAGCCAGATATTCCAAAGTTTGTAGATTAGGAGAGTAATTATTAATATCCAGAACAGTAAAATGTTCAGGACATTTTATTTTCACTATGCAGTCTCTCTATATCTCCAGTGTTTTGTGTTGTTTATGTTTTTACAGAGTCTAACTTCCAGCAAGCACCTAGCTATTGCAATCATTTTGTGCCCAGCAATGTTGATTTTCATTCTTTTTCTAACAGCAGCTCCTCCCGCGTGTCTGTGCCTTTGGAATGTCAGCAAAGGCGACATCATCAAAACAGGCCTCTAGTTTCCATCTGGAATTTTATTTTATCTAAAACAGGCATAAACAAGTGGAGATTCAAACAGCCTTACATGTGCGGTGATTGGCTGTAAAGAAGTATCTAGTTCTAAGCTTCCATTTTCTATAAGGAGTAACTTTGTCTTAAGCCTTCTGCCTGTACAATTCTAATGGCCAACTCCATGAGCCACCATTTGTTTAATTACATAGAACAGAATTTTTAGAGTTGTTTCCAAGGGGTTGTAGGTAGACTCTGAACTAAGATAATCCATGTGTGTGTATGTTTGTTTGTTTTACTTCAACATTAAAAGCTAGTTCATACGTGGTACTGCACACCTCTGTAACTTAGGACCACTAGAACATCGTCTCATTTTCTGGGCTTAGTTTTTGTCACTCTTGTGCCTTTCCCCCCTTTAAGTCGACTAGTTAGAGGTTTCACTAGTCACGGCCAAAAGGAAGGCTACATCATCCTGTTTTAAACTTGTTCCTTTTTGTTCACTCTAAATGATACCAGGCTTGAATAATGGAAGAAGACTGTCATGAAAACCAAGGAGTCGGGCTAAAACCAAATGGCAATACCCTGCTAAAATTTAAAGCCAGTGAAGTTTGGGGGAGGGGTTTGTTGTCGTTTCCATTTGTTTTAAATGGAGTAAGAGAAAGAGAAAAGTAAATAGTCCAGAGATCTGATTTAAAAACCGATACTTAAGAAAATGAGCAGATGGCAGAGTCTATGCCTGGTCCATTTGGCGTACGAAATGGCTTTCTATGAAGATGTAAGCGCGGGGGTTCACAAGCACACTCAGTAACCTTCAGTGTTACGTGTGTAATGTAAACCCATTGTGCTAACCATGGAAACAAGTGGCTATTTCCACATAAACTGAATCTACAAACAATCGGAGGCTAAATGGCATCTTGGAGATACTGCCTGGAATCTAAAAGTTGAACCACGAGGTGATCATTACACTTTTAAGGTTCAGTGTCAAATCTAGAGAAGCTTGGGATCCAGGCAGAAGAAAATGACTTTTTGTTTGTGGCAGTGGAGATGGGAATAATTGGGAGAGGGGAATGGCATTCGTAAATGTGGAAGCAATTTTTGAGGCAGAATTAATTTTGCCTTATAATTCCTTGGAAGCAGTTTATAAGACTGTTAGAATGCTATGTGTTTTACTCTCAAGGAAGTAATGAATTTGTGATTTTAATAAGCTTATCCCTCTGGGCATATTTAATGCCAGCAAGAATGCTGTGCACTGTCAAACTAAGCCATCAGCATTTGCTGTCGCCAAGAAAGGACCTAGCAAATAGTCCTCCAAAAATACACTCTATGTGGTATATAGTTAGACCAGGGGAAAGGGTCCTTCTTCTTTCACCGCAGAGTTACTCCAGATGTTCATAGTGACTGAGGACATATTCATGGGACCTTGTGTCTAACCCGTGGTTCAAGTAAACTTCAAATACACACACACACACACACACACACACACACACACACACACACAACCCCACAGGCATGTGAGCAAACGTTAAGACTGGAATAAGTAGAGATAGCGATATACTATAATTATTTCCGTCCTCCTTGCCACAAATCAGTCATCCCACTGTGTCTGGTTTCTGCCTCCACCTCATCACGGAACATTTCCTCCAGACTCCTTTTCCTTACTGTACATGAGCTCTCAACCTCCTCGGATCGCTGTAGAACTGACACTGTTGACCGGCACCTCTTTCCTTCTAGGTCTTGGCACTTCATCTCTTTCCATGCCTTCTCAGTCACTTTTTATTTATCTTCCTCCTGTCACCTCTTAAGTGCTGCTGCTCCCCAAGTGTCTGATCCTATCTCTATAATCTCCCCCACCACCTTCGTTTGAATTTTAATTTAATTTTCCAGTTAGGGGGGGCGCAAACCTTCCAGTTAGGGGGACACCAAACTGTGCTCACTGCCATCGGGGTCTATGAGATTCATATAACCTAAAAAGCCATGATGATACTGACCAGCTCCATGAGATTTTCTGTCCCTCGTTGATAACTTATTTTTTGTCTATTTATCTCCTCGGTAGAAGTATCATCCGGGGTGGTTTATAAGCTGTGAAAAGTTTTCAAACTTAGCATGTTCAAGCTAAGAGCGCCATACACTCAACAACCCATCCTATGACCTTGAAAAAAATCAGACTACTGCTTAGAAACATGGGATCAGTTAACCTCAGGCCTTTCCCTCACTCTTCACAACAATTCACTCTGTGACTTTTGCCACCACCTCCACCTCTGCATTGCTTCTGCACCTGTGAAATCTTGCCCACGTCTGTAGAAGTTGCCTAAATTTTTCATACTATGGACAATGTAAGCTCTTTCTATCATAAATGTAATAATCTTCTTAGCTAAAATATTTCAAAGACTCTTTATCATTTTAGAAGAAAGGCCAAAATTGCTCATGGAGCACTCAAATGTGATATGTCATCACATTTACTGATCCTATAGCCCAGTGTTAGTCATATCTTTCAGTGTCCCCACCCACACTGTTAGACTCAGTGAAGTGACAACTAATATCTCAAAACATCTGACACCTTCTCTAGGAAGAGTTGTTAAGCATCCCTCTCCTGTGCCCCCAGTAGACTGTTGTTGAACTTAACACAAAATATACTCATCTATTCTTTTCACTCCTCTACAAAATACGGAACTTGTAAGCGGCCTCACCTAGTCATCTTTGGGTTCAATGCCTGACCCACAGGGGACATTCAGTAAACACTTGCTGAAATGAATACTACACTGGGAAAGAGGTACTTCTGCGATCAACAATTTGTAGAATCACAACAGACAAGTCCTCTAATCCTGGCATAGTGGCAAGTTCTGTAGCAGGCAGGTTCAGGTATTATGAGGAAGGAGGAATAGAAAAAAAGAAATAAGAGAAGGGATAAGGCAAGACGGGTAAATGCAAAAGACTAAGAGAGGCAAATGAGGGTAGGGAAGGAATTCTAGCTCTTTGTAGCTGGAGCTAAAACTTGTGCAGTTACAAAAACTGCTGCACACTGATGTTTCCAACACTAGATTGGTAAGGCAAATACAGTCTAAGGAAACTAGATGATTGTCTCTGTGTTGGAAAAAAAAACCTTTTGTTTTATTAATTTGAAAAATACTTCATATTTATTATACACTTGACTGAAATCATAAAAGCCTGAATTGCATACAAATGGACAGTATGTATCAGTAATAACTGTAACAAACATTAAATATTATCATAGAACGCAATACTAAATGAACCTGTTCACAATCCACCACGCCTGGCACAGTAATACTTTCTAAAATAATCTTTATTCGTTCTCGAAAAAAAAGCAAAAATAAATAAAAGTAGATAGATGATAGATAAAAATAAAATAATCTTTAGCTCAGCATAGTGGCACCTGCTCTTAATCCAAGCACTTGAGAAGTAGAGGCTGGAGGATCAGAATTCAAAGTCATCCTCAACTACAAAGGGACTTTGAGACCAGTCTAGACTACAAAACACTGTCCCAGAAAGCACGTGAATAGAAAATGAAATAAATCAATAGATGGTAATCACTGAGCAGGAGAAAACATTTTAAAAATGTTTCAAACTATTGCAGCATTTGGATTTAATAAATCTCCAAGCATCTCTCTTTTGGAAATGTTCTCTCTTAATCTTCAAACACGAGCAGTACTGAGGAAATTGACTTGTACTTTCAAGTCCCTCACACCTAACCTCATGCAGTTCCTGACGAGGGGACAGTTTGTTATTCCAGAAACCTTCAGGGTCCTTCTTGTAAGCTTTCTGGCTTAGAAACAGAAAATCAGGTGCGATCTCAAGTGTAATTTTAACATCAATATTTAAACATTTCCAGTAGTTTCTAGACTTCATACTTTAATCTCCAATCCTTTGAAGTATTCTGCTCAGATAAGAACTCTTGCGTTTCAACTGTAAAGGATTCAGCCATTGATTTCTCTATAAAACCTAGTCAAACTGGCTTTCAGTTCAAAATATACACTCCTTCTCTCACTCCTGTGGAATCTACTGGAAATTAGCCTACGTGAGGCTACAAGCACCAAACATAAAACGGCAAATGCTGGCGAGGATGTGAAGAAAAATGAGACACTGCCAGTGAGAATGTAAGATCGTTTACTGGGGACCTGTACTGAGGCTCCTCAAAACACTGAAACTAGACCTACCACACGGCCCAGTTAACCCATGTCTAGGTGCATATCCAAATGGAACGTAGTCAGCATATGGAAGAGATGCCTTCTCTCCCATGCTTGCTGCAATACTAGTCACAGTAG